TTTATCTATCTATCTATCTATCTATCTATCTATCTATCTATCTATCTATCTATCTATCTATCTATCTATCTATCTATCCACCTAACAACGTTCCCCTCCCGGCCATCCTCAGTTCGCGACTTCCAGACATACATGCTGTGTTACACAACCCTCAACGGCTGTAGCTTCCACCAGTACAGAGACGAGGTGAACCAACCTCTGGGGGCACTCATTGAGCAATATGGAGGAATGGTAAGCTTTAAATGTTGTTGCTGTTGTTGTTGTGGCTTTTCGTGTTTATTTTTGCTGTTTGATATTCTTGTTTTTTCGGTTGCTGTTGTTGTTGTTGTTGCTGTTATTGTTATTGTTTTTTTTGCAGTTATTGTTGTTGTTCATCTTTTATGGACAGAATGTTGATAAACCTTAAGGCCGGTTTATTGAGCAAGATGGGGGACTTTTTGGAATCTTGTTGTTTTTTTAAATCTAATTTTAAAACAGGGCCTTACACAGGGGCAACCAGCATTGGTGTGTTAATTAATTGCCCGTATGGATGTCGTGCTATGTGATTATGCGATGATGATGTATTATTGCGGATATCTTAAACATTTTTACGTTGCCTTTGAGGGCCCCTTTATTAAAACAGGTTTGATGGAAAAAGCATCGTATTTCTGTATCATATGTACTGTATTTGGTCTTTTTAAATTTTAGTAAGAGTTTTACGACCCTTGCAACTCAATAAGATCGTATAAATGCTGTCTGTATTTGTAAGTAAAAGAACGTAAGTGAGGTTTGTAAAACATAACCATATTATAATCTACCAAATTCCTCCACAGCCCTTTGTTGTCCAGAATGTTGGCGTGAACTCCCTGAGACGTCACCACATCGATGACCAGACCATGGTCACTCTGCACTTCTTCAAGAGCGAGGATGACGTCAAGAGTTTAATGATGGATGGTCAGTTGTCTCCACTTGACGTTGTTTAGCTTTGGTGCAGACTTTGTTGGGTTTTTAAAAAAAATAATTTTATTTATTCTATTCAGACAGTACATAGCATAACGCAATAAATGAGGGTGTGCGTAAAGTTAAATGACCAATGCATATGATATATAATATTATGACTGGTGATTCAACAGCTGCCGGTAGTGGCGTTTTTTAAGTTGATGTTGGTGCATCCGTGACGCACGCAGGAGACCCGAGTTCGGTTCCCTAGGAAAGGAAACTTTATCCAGTATCTCTGTCTTTCTGCTGGGATGTAGTATCCCTTTCAGCACGAGTTGGCCCTGACACTTGTTGATTGTATTCCATGCGCAGGACTTAATATGCCACCGTATTTGTTTTTAATGTTTACGTTCTTGTACATAGTATTGCTTTATGACACTGCTTGAACGACTTCATCATCTTACGCATAACTAAGACTATAGAGCTCCATCAAGAGTTAAGAGATAATATTATATTTTTACCCAGGTAGAGCTTCAATAAAATTGATGATTCATGATAGTAATGTTGTACTAAGCATTATTACTACAATATTTGCTTTATATTTCTATTTTTTTCCTCAACAGCCCGTTATGACGAAATCAAGAGAAAGCAGCTGTTGCTTGCCCAAGATGTAACTTCTGTGTTTACCATTGATCACGATGCCTGCCCTTAGAACAATCTATTTTATTACGCTTTGATGAAAAAATAATACTATAATTCTCCTCTTTTACTTGACTGACTTAAACGTAAATCCAACATGAAACACGTTTACTGAGGGTATATCTCTGAGTTCATCGAACTGAACTGTATAGTCTTGCAAATATTTTCAGGTTTTTTCTTACCCTGTTTTCTCCTATTCTTTTTCCTTCTCAGTCATAAGTCTAATGGGATAAAAGATTTGTTTTACATTTTGTTCCTTTAGAAGTCGTTGTTTGTGTTATTGTTGCTGTCATTGTTGTTGTAATTGTTGTTGTAGTTGTTGTTGTTGCTGTTGTTGTTGTCTTTTTGGGGGGTTTTATGGTTGTGGATGTGATGGTGGTGGTAGTCTTCTACTTTATCCGTGTTTCCGGCCTTTCTCACTTCATGTCCATGTCATTATTTTTAGAATAAGCTTCATCTCAAACCCCGTTTTTGTTCTTGTTGCCATTGTAAGTCTATCTTTTAATTTGTTTTCGTTTTTTGTTTACTTTTGTTGTCGATTTTTTGGTCTTATTTTTATGATGTTACTTTTGAGTTCCTTTTGCCCTCGTCAGTGTTTCCTTTCGATATTGAAGACTGTACATAATAAATGTTTCATATACTTTAATGTCGTAGGAATGTGCTATAATATACAACATCTTTGTTTATAATAAATACACATATTTGTTCATTTCCTCTTCTTTATACTTTGCACGTTATCTTAACATAATTTCAGTTAGGTTTTAGGCTGTTTGACTTATACAAATACTGTCCATTTCAATGCTAGAAACTTCACTTGATACCTCGTCTAATTACAGCTAACGGTATCTGTATTGGTGTACGCCAAATACAGCACACCCTGATGTAACACAGTTGCACACAAACACTAGACAGGCCTATACTGTCATAGAACAATAAATGTACCACCAACTGCAACTTCTTATTAGTAGCAGTGAGTCTGACATATTTTTGGAAGCATGAGAAGATCAAGAGTCTTTATCTGAGTATTTTTCTTTTGTACATTTTAATATTGCAGACAATCGTCATTTAGACACCAATATGCCTGCTTTTCTACAACACTTAAAGAAGACTCTCATAAGAACATTACTTTTTCCCTTTCTCTAACTTACCAAAAGTAAAAGTCAATTTTTGAGACAAATAATGAAGTATGTCATATCTCAGTTTTGAAATCCGCTAAAAAGAAAATTTATCAATAATTCCTAAGTGCCTAGTTGAAATTTAAAAATTGTCACAGCAGAAAATGTATAACAATTTGCCCTGCGATGTAAATAAACATTAAGTATCCTAATCATGACGACTATGTGGTTCCTTCATGACCTGGCTGTTTTTTATTGACATTATAAGAACCATGACTCGACACTCCTTACGTAATTCAAGCTCACTGTGGAGCGCACCACTTGTGAGGCATCGTGGTAAAACCAGGCGTTCGTCAAAATGTTTAAATAAAAGAAACTGGCGTCTTTCTGATCATCTGGCAGTTTTGTTCTAATTTTCAATTTTTGACTCAACACCTTTTACGTCAATTTAAAAACGCATTTCTGTGTAGATTTTTACTGAAAAACCCCCCATTGATTAAACATCGGCATACTTTGGCGTCCATTTTCACGCTAATGTTCCGTCTGAAACCAGCAACCTCACTACCTTCAACCCCAAATATCTCGACTTCTATTCTAGGTATATTGAACATTTTTATCTTTAAAAAAAGACAAATGAAGAGGCTATAATATGATACAAATAACTCCATATGCCCAACAACTGACGACCGCCTGTTTTCATCATGTCATGACACATTTGATTCTATGAGGGTCAAATGAAGGACAAAAAGGGAAAAGTTGCTTGAACACTTGATTATAGCCAATAGTGAGACTTGTGCTTTGCTCTTCATTATTGCAGCCATGGTGTTCACTTCCACAACCTATTTCTTTTAAAAAATCGAGTGCAAAAGAGTGACTTCCATTACAGTGCCTCGTCTTTTATATTATGGATTAAGTCTATGGTTGTTTCAAATTTTGATTGTAGGACTGAAATGTTCCTTTCCCCTAAAACGAAATATTAAATTTGTCAACGCCATTCACCAATATAATATATCACTGCGTATGTTAAATGAATATTATGACCTATAAAAGTTCTATACATGAATACACACACACACACACACACACACACACACACACACACACACACACACACACACACACACACACACACACACACTCATATAGTGTATATATATATATATATATATATATATATATATATATATATATATATATATATAATCATTATTATTATTATATATTATAGCTTTATTAATCCATGTTTGGAAATTTTGGTTATAAGAGCATTCTAAAAGCATAAAAAGTATATTTACATACACACATGTATGTACAAAAAGAAAGTTAACAAATTGGCAGTATGACAACAGTTCAGACAGTTTCACAAACATGTGATTTCTAGTTGCCACTGTTCAGGGACCTGGGTTTCTTTTAAATATTATACTCGTAGTATTCATTTCAGCTTGGGTTATTGCTTGTCGCTCAAGAATACACGAAAGTAAATAGAAAAGGGCTCTGAATGGCAGGTTGTTAAACATCTATAACCAGAGTTATTTAAAAAAAAGAGAATTGCGATTCTTTGGCCTCATAAACAGATCAAAGGGACTAGAGATAACACTGTTTGTGTGTAAAGTTAAAGAGAAAGAAGACCTGGAATGACAAAGATGAACAACTTCGCAACAAATACGACAATAGGAAAAACCGCGCCGATCACGAAGACTGAACAGGAAAGTTTTGGTACCATTGATCGTTATTGACTGCCTCAGAGCTGTCACCTGAAAGTGACATAATTTCATTTATTATCACTTGTAAACAGGCCATAAATAAATATATTTATGTTTGCTTCACTCGAGTTTTTTGGACAAGGGAATGATGTTTTTTTCTTAACAACGTGGGCTGTGGGTTTCATTTAAACAGGTTACTAGCTTAGTGTGCGCCTGATATTGACTTGTACGTGTACTGATATACATGATCCTTTGACCGTGATGAAAATTAATTTGTTGTGGGTTCACAAAATTACATGAGAGCCACAAGCTCAGACATAAATCGTTCTAATATAGGGCCTATGAGTATAAGCTGGATTCGTTGCGATACATCATTAGAATCCAAATACGCATTTCTATAAGTAGTTAACTTTTCTGCATAAGAAAAAAACACGAGTCCAGTCCAAAATTTAACAGGGATTAAATCGGTTGTTATACACATGGAACTTCAAATAATCAAGTGGTTCGGTCATCGGATTGTCATAAAATCAACCAGTTGCAGAATCTTACCGCCCAAAAGACTCAAGATACAAGAAAGGGGCCAGACCAAGCCAAACTTTGCTAGATGGATGGCGTTAAAGAGGTCCTTCAGATGAAGAAGATCCAGCAATAGACCGAAAATTGCACCTGCCATCGACATCTAAAAATGCAAGAGAAAGAATGCAGTAAGTGAGGTGTGCAGAAAGATACAAAGGGAACGGAACAGACACGGAGATAGACAGATATTTCCTTTTTTTTTTGAGTGAGTGTTTTAGGGCGCTCGCAACTGCATAAGGTCATATGAGCGCTCGGGAAACATTAAACATTTTTCAGTTGGCAGGAAATTTTGAATTTTGCCAGCGTGGCGGCCAAAGCCTACTCTTATCGATTTAAGACCACTAATGGATCTTTAACTTGCGCAACTTGCACACGGGACCTCCGAGATTTTTAGCCCTTGTACGAGAAGGCTACCACAAGATCAGGGGTGTGGCTGAAAGACGGCAGTAAGAAGGAGCAATGGAGTAGCAGTAGAAAGGCTGCAGAAAGAGTTAGGAGCCCAGAGGAGGGGCAAAGGAGGTGACGGGGTGGGGGTAGAAAATAGAGACGAAAGCGTAATACAGAACATTGCTTGAGAGCAGGAACGGAGGCGAAAGGAGACAATTTTAGAAAAGAAAATGTTTCGGTCATTATAAAGATTCGAACCCGGGACCTTTGAATGAGAGGCAAACACCTTAACTCCTAGGCCGCGAGAGCCCTCTATAGATAAATAGGTAGATAGATATAGAAATAGTAAAATAAAGAAGGGGAGAGAGAGAAAAAAAGAGAGAGAGAGCGACAGAAAGAGAGAAAGAGAGAGAGAGAGAGAGAGAGA